TCATGATGTGACCATGCCTGGTTGTACAACATGTTTTGCAGTGGTTGTAAGCTAACACCACAGTCGTTAAACAAATTTTGTTTTTTTTGGTGGAAAGCAGAAGTAAATGCTGGAAACCAGCAAAAAATGTTGAAAATTATGGTCACATGACTGCAGGACACTGCAAACATCCATAAATGCAAGCCAGTTGCCAAGCACCCAAAATGTGATCATGTGACTGCAGTGGGGTTGCAGCCCATTGTAACTTGGAACTGTCATTAAGCAACTGATCACTAATCAGTACACTTCCTGTACTCATTCCAAAAAATAAAGAGGCAATAGTAACAGAAGAATGATTTCCAAATATAATAGAATCAAGGTGCTATTTACAACAATGTAAAGGATCTAGACAAAGATGTTTAATATTTAATAATATTAAATAAATAATAACAACAAAAACAAATCAAGCAGGTTACATTGGGAGAAAGAGTCTGAAACATGTCCAGTCTTACAGTAACTTAATTCAGAGTTACGTAAGTCTAGATTTATCAGTCTTGTCAGAAAGCACTTAAAGAACAAGGCTTTTGAAAACTACTGCTGAGCTTTTCTCAGTTAAGATGAATGTATTGTTCTCACAAAAATCTTAAAATCTTGTAACTAATGATTTAAATATTGAGTCATTCTTAGGGGCCAGCAAACAATTCAGAATGCAACAGTTAAGCTTATGTTTTTCATTGAAAAGGAAGTTTGAAATTATAAGCACTTTAAAAATTATTGTAATTTTGTGTCCTCCCCTTCCCTCTTTCATAGTGTTCTGCAATCATTTCGTTAGATGCAAATGTGTGTTTATTTTTGAGAGCAGCAGTATTAAAGCACAAAATAATAACTTAGCACTATAGCAAGTGATTAGGAATCCAGACACTTTCATAAGATATCAAGGAACACTACAGTATTGTAATATATGCATATTCTCATTAATATTTATGATCTATCTATTTAAACATTTGTTTAGCCATCCAGCTCAACCAAAGACATTCTGGGCAAGTTACAGAAAATTTGACAGAACCTAACATATAATTCAATAAACAATTGTATATTTGAACTCTATACTGTATATCAAATTATATCAAAAATATACACATTATGTAAACATGTAATGATATAATAATAGAATAGTAATTCAAACAGAAATGGCACCATGGTATAATTAATGGTGGGGGGGCTTATATATGATTATATAGTTCCCTTTGTTACTTTTGTTTCCATTTCTGTTAATAAGGGGAATGGTTTTATAGAGTGCTTGACTGTTGGCCTACGCTAATCAGCATTTTCCTGAAAATTAATTATACTGTAGAAGAAACTGCTTTTTGAACAAAGATGCCAAAGCAGCATTACTAGTATTTTATGAACAATGAATCCTAATGGTACCCTTCTGAAAACACTGATTAATCTGTCTTGCTGATACAACAGGATAGTAAATATCTGCATATTGGATGTTGTATTTGTTAATAGCTTTCTAGCTTTTGTCTAAGACTACACCATCAGACTGTTCTTTGTACACAAGTAATTTGTGGTGAAGGGTACTTGGCCTGCCATTAAGTCCAGCATTAAGAGATGTTGTTTTGACCTTAAGCTTGTACCATAAAAGCAATGCTTAATGGTTCCCTTGGGATTTTGTTCAAAAGTAAATGAAACGTTTTCTAAAAATGTGGAATGGTATATACCAAAGTCAACACATCCCTTCCTGTATTGTTGAGCACTAGAGCTGGAAAGCTTCTCAATGTAGTACAGTGGTTCAGGAGTTCAATTTCTGGTTTGAAACTCGTAAAATAAAATTTAGGTACATACTTCTGCCAAGTCCCATACAGTATAGAATGAAACTGGTTGTATACTGCCTACTGATGATCTATATAAGTATATAGATTTTGCTATGCTTTCAATGATTACTTTCTTAACAGGGATAGTCCTTCAGCTGAGATTCCTTAGCATTTTTACTTCTTTTGCTGCTCTACAATAGATAGAGTACCTCATGGTATTTCTGTTCTAACAGCTATATTTTGATATTACAGATTTTGTCTATAATTACATTTATCTATACTGAGCATATTTTATATCTCGATATATTTTCTTTGATCCTCCCATATCATCAGGTCACAATTAGTGCACATGATTTAAGGCTACAGTTCCACAGTACCTGAAAGAGACAAATATACAAACACGATATTCCTTTTATGAGTTTTTCCCTGATCTCTCTTTATTATGTAATACTAATGTTATTAAAGTTTTCTATATTGAGCTTTGAGAAATTTACAATATGAAGTGATGTTTGTCGTTATTGAAATAACTTTGACTTTGACTGACAAATTAGCAGTTGTAGAGGGATTAAATATGTCTATTAGTATGTTTTACGTTTCTAGTTACCAACAGTGTAGAACATTCTTTAAAAAGAAAATGCAGTACAGTAGTTTTATCCTTCTGTCCATTGTCTAGGAAAGTGTTGGCTGGGAATCCTGGGAGTTGAAATCCATGCATCTTAAAGTTGCTGAGGTTGAAAAATGCTGTTCTGTAGCAACCTGGATATAACCTGTGTACTTGCGATTCTCCCTCACTGTTACATATACCGTACATCTGTGCAAGCATGCTCTTTTTTATCATCCATTCCTTAAAAGTGTATATTCTAAACAAATTTGCTGAGTAAAAACCTTGTTGAACGGAGGGTATTAGACTCCTGAGTGATTATGTTTAGCATGAAGTTACCTGCATCCTCAAGGACATGGTAGCACTGAAGCCAAAGTAAAGGCTTTTTTTACATATCTGTAAGAATTATAAATTCCTTAGCAAGGCAATTATGCACCGAGCTATTTTCTTTTCCTACAAAGGGGAGGAAAGCGAACATTTGAATGGAAAAAGGTAGTGCCAGTCCATGGCTGTCTGTACATGTGACCAAGGTTGAAAAGTCTCTATGGAATTTTGAGAGAGATGTGATAGCTGTGATTGTGATGGGTGACTGGGCACATTTTCTTTTCAGTGCTGCACAAAAACAGCTGACATGGGTATTTTTTTTTAAAAAACAGCCACTTCTTAGCTGACTATTTTTGTGTGTGCTGCTTTTGCCATCTGCTGGAAAAGGAAGAAAGGAGCCTTGCTCTCCTGCCTTTTTCATTCCCTGGTTTGTCTGCAGTCTAATACAAATGCAACATTTTAAGAAATACCGAGTAGTCCGTGGAATTGTGTTCTCTCAGTCTGTAGCAGCCATATCTACTTTTAGTTAGAATGTGTTAATCTTTCAATCCTGATTTAATAAGAAGTCATGGTCAACATTGTTTCCAGACTTGTTTAAGGAACACATGCTGCTCTTGACATTTAATCCAGAATTGGGAAGTTGGAGCTATTCTGCACTTATGCAGATTTTGCACAGTCTTAGAGCAGTGGTTCTTAAAGCAGGAGCAATTACCCCTAAGGCATATTCTGGGGTAGTTCCGTTATGGCTAGTTTGTGACTCAAGGATCCAAACACTCCAATAAAACTACAGAGTCTGTTTGTGTGAGGAAAGTGACATTATTTGAGACTAGAAAAGGGCAATTGGATCAAACAATTTAAGAACCAATGCCATAGAGGGATTTTCAAACAACATCTTTTCTGATAATATGAAAGCCATACATTTTCCTTCCATAAATCAGTGTATGATCTTAAGAAACATACTAGCAAAGTTCTGTTGACACAAGTTTTGCTTTACAATAGACTTTAGTGTTACCGCAGAGGGCATATCTTGCAAATTGTCCATATGTGGATCTTTTCTCCTTTTTTAAATATTCCCCTTTTCCATAAAAATGCGTATACAAGCTCTACTTTATTCAGGTTAACATTTAGATATTGTGCAAAATGTTGGTGACTCCAAGCACCATAAGGCATAAGGCTGCAATAGCACATCACACTGATACAGTATGTTAAACCTGTTGATCATTTGCTTATACAGGTAGACTTACGACCACAATTGAACCCCAAATTTTTCTTGCTAAGCAAAACAATTAAGTCCCATTTTACAATCTTTCTTGCAACAGTTTTTAAATGAAGCACTGCAATTGTTAAGTCATAAGTCACTCTTTTCAATGCCATTGTAATTTATATGGTCCAGTAGTGCAAAGATTTTCAAACCTTTTCAGGTTGTGGTACTTGTTAGTTTTTTTAAGTCCCCAGAACCCCTGATTAAGAGGCAAAAACTAGTGGTAGAAAAATTGACTGCATATGGATGATTTTTTTTATCTTTACTTTCCCATGGAACCCAGTCAAGGTCTTGTGGAAGGGCAGGCTTTACACAGTGTGAAAAACCTTCTACTGCAGGGATGTGAAACTGTCGGCCTGTGGGCCAGACACATCCAGAAGCCGCACCCACCCCATTGCCGGCAATGGCAAAACTGTCCCGATATGTTGCATGATGTCGCGAGTTTGACATGTCTGTTCTACTGTATTAGATGATGTTAATACAGGTTATATCTAATAACAGTGCCATTCCAATAGAGACAGGCAGCATTTTGATACCTGGAATTGATTTTTCTTACCATTATTACTTTCCTTGGTGGTTGAGGCACTTGGCCATTATGGTAATTAGTCATTGGGGACCAATAGGATTTTTTAATTATTATTATTAGAGCTTTTAATCAGTTCTGTGTTGTACTTCTTTTTTCTGTGTGTGTACCCTGCCTAGACTCTCTGTCAGTTAGAGCAGCCTATAGTTTTTCTTGCAGATGTTTCACTAGTTAATAGTAATGAAACTCTGCAAGAGAATAAACATGTTCAGAGAGCACCAAGGGTCCCTGATCTCAACTCTACCTCAGAAAAGGAGTATAATAATTCTTGCAGGTATTTGCTTCTGAAATGAATAACTTCCCTCCAACCCCAAATCATTGGGAGAGGGGAAAAAATAACAAATTACTATAGTGTTTATGTTTTAAAAATAAGAATATATGTTACTGAGTCAGTCTAATTAAATTGAATAAATTAATTGCTATCTTTTCATTCAGCTAAGATCCGTATTTAACATGACTGCAAATGAAGGCCGAAAAAGATCTATGAGGGCCCTCGTGGCTGTTGGCAATGGAAAAGGATCTGCTGGTAAGTAATTGTCCTCCAACAGATGACTCAAAGCATGGAAGCTATAGATAATCCCTTCCAGTAGAGGTAGAAATTTCCTTTTGTTGGATGTATTAACATTTGGGAGATATTGCTTCAGGCAAGCATCTTTTAGAATTAGAGAAGAGCACAAATAACTTGTGTGTCTGCTCTAACTTTCCAGACTTATGCTGGGGTGCAGAAGATCCCAATAAATTTAAGGTTTGTGAAATGATAGCATTGGGTATGGTTGAACAGGCACCCTGAACCTTGAACATATATTGCAATGGACTTGCTATGAATATTATTCTGTAGGAAGATGGAGAATCACATCAAGCCTGTGTTAATGTTAATGTTCCCTTGTTTGTAATAAGGTTGTTGCTGCTCCTGTTAAACAAGTTTGATTGAAAATGGATGCTATTCATAGCAGCATGGAAGATTGTTCTCTATTAAACCCAGCTCTTCAGATATAAGAACGTACTGAAGGACAGACAAAATGAATGAGCTTTTAACTATCTTCACTTTGTGGTATCAGGCCAGCAGCAGGCTCTTCAGATTTTTTTTCCCCTCTATTTTTTGAAGTTATCTCTGGCTTTCATCTCACCTGTGATGCTGTTTTCATTATTTCTTACCATTTGGTTTCATATAGTCCCATTATTTGCTTTTGCCCCATTTCTCCTTGTATAATTTAAATGTATGCAATATATGTCACATATGAGTTAGTCACCCAAGAAGTAAAAGAGAGAGGTTTTCTGTTAGGACAGAAATGTAGAAACAACGCAGTATTGTCTAAATCTGGCAAAGACTGAAGAAACAGGGAAGGAAGCTTTCTAAATCTGTCAGCAGTCTTCTTGGAAATAATCTGTTTTGTAGCAGCAGCACAACCCAGATTGTAAAGCTCGGCGTCAGGAGCCTATTTATGTTCAGAACAAAAATACCGCCCAGCAACAAAGCCAATAAAATTAGCCACATTCGTCTGTTAGATTCCCTTACCATTTATAATTTTTTACATGCGACAGTCATTTATCATAAATATAATTAAAAATCCTTATGACACTCAGACTTTTGCTGAATTAAAACTGGACCTTAGATTAATCAAGGAGCCAAGGGCATATTTATTGGGGGTAGTGGAAGGGGGCTTGGTATTGTATGTAATGTATGTATGTAGTGTATGTATTAAATTTCTGTGCTGCCCATCTTACTAATACAGAAACTCTGGGCGACATACAATTAAATTAAAAATTAAAAAGTACTTGAAACAATTAAAATTAGAATAAAAAGTGTAAAAGTTAAGAACCAAGATGATGGGCAGCCTGGGGGTGAGAATCTTCTCATATAAAAAACATTGGCGCTATATGTAGGAGGTTTTTTTGCATGTTTTCATTTGTGGTGATTGTTTCCTAATAGCCCATTTGTATTTATCAGGTTTTGCTCTAGGAAAAGCATCTCACATGAAGAATGCACTAAGAAAAGTATGTAATGTAAAACCTTAACATCATCTCTTTGTTATTAAAGTCTATCTTTATTTCCATGATTTTGGTATATAAAGGTACAATTCTGTGTTTCTATTCTTCTGTGAAAATGTTAAATATCTCTGATCATGGTTTCCGATAAACAACCATTCCTATCACTTTCTATTTGCTGCTTTTATCTGCACTTGGCAGAACTGAACATGGGTGCAAAATACTCTGTCCTTCAGGTGACCTTCTCATCACGAATTCCATAAACATCATTCATAAAGACCATGAACTGACGTGTGCAAGATGGATACAGTGGTGTGGATGGGGACCCCTATGTTAGTCAAGAAAATGTTCTTATTCACTGCTGCCACTTGTGGCAAAGATTCACTCAATTCCCATTGCTGCACATACTGTAGGCTGATATTCAAAAGATAGATAGGCTCTTCTGCAGAGTGTATCCCTTTTTGTCCTCTTTATCTTTTTGAACAAATTGCAATGTTTTCAAATGATAGATTTGGGAGAATTTCACAATTTTAAAAGTCAGGGAAGAGCATCCACCTGAAAGATGTCATTTGTCATGTGTCAGAATCTATGGCGTTGCATTTGCATTCACAGTGAAGTGCCGTGGCTCACAGATACTTTGTACTTTTCTTTGTGCTAAATAAATCCCTATTGCTCTTAACATTTTTAGACCAAGGGAAGGGAAGGGAAGGGAAGGGAAGGGAAGGGGAAGGAAGGAAATCATAAGAGAACTGATTTGTTTATATTTTGATGAAAATAATAAGTTATCAAAAGTTTAAAAGGACCAGATCAGGCTTCTCAGTTGAAGCCAATTTATGATTCAAAGACATACTCAAAAGTGACTGATTGAAATCAACAAATAAATACAGATTTTAAATACTATATGCAACTTTTTTTTTTTATTTTCTGCGTGTAACCTTTTTCATTTTGAGCTAAGACTTTGGAAGGAATATAATTTGTTTGGATTTTTTTTTTTACTCTTAACAGGCCTTTAACAGGCCTTTCCCTTTTTTTGAAAAAAAGGTTTGCAAGTCAGTTTATCCAGATGAATTAGTTAAACATCTCTTTGTTTTTCAGTATCATAATTATTTTCCATATCTTTTTGTTAAGCCGTAGGCGAAGAACAATAAGGTTTCCTTAGTTCGGATTTGACATTTCTCTTGAATATCAATCTGCTAGATTAAATTTAGCCCTTTACTTGGTCATCTGGATTGAGGAAGCTATTGCTTCAGGAGACTTAAAGAAGACTGGCAAAAATTAATATTTTATGACCCAAATTATTAAAATGTCATCTTGTATGAAATAATCCGGAATAATTTGTTACACATAATAGATTTTATTTATTTAGCAAATGTACATAGTCACCCATTTCACAAAAAGTGACTCCTAAGTGGTGTACAGCAATTAAATAAAAAATAAATGTTGTAAAACAAGCATTATTAAAAATATAAAACAGTTATTAAAAGTACAGCACAGGAGAGAGTATACATTAACAATAAGAATATTAACAATAAGAATATTAACAACGTTGTATGGTACTTCCAGCTATCATTTTGATTTTTCTAATTGAACTAAGTACTAGATTGTAGTTTATAATTGGCCGAGAAGCAAGTTTAATATTTTCTTTTATCATTCCTGTAACTTAGCTTTAAAATTGAGTTCGTACATTTTCATAATGATTTTTAATTTTTTAAAATAATGTTCTTTCCCCAGGCAAAAAACAAAGCTATTCACCATTTACAGTATGTTGAAAGATATGACGATCATACAAGTAAGTATTAGAAATATATTTTAATTGAACTTTTAAAAGTGAGCTAGTTACAGTATTTTCCCCCAGATATTATAAAGCTGTTTATTTCTTCCATCTCTTTGTCTCAAAATTCAAATTTCATGAACTTGCAAAATTAGACGTGCTTTATATGCCCCATCTGAAATTTTTCTTTTGGCCACATGAATGAATAGCTGTTTTATTCAATCTCATACCCATTCATTCTTTTGCATGAATGTATCCAAATTCATTAGAAAATGTCAGGGATGCCTGCAGTGTTCCCTAGGCCAGGGCTTTTCAACCAGTGGTACGAGTACCACCTGTGGTACATTGGCACCTGGCAGGTGGTACGCGACCATCCTAGAAAAGTAGCGGGGGAAGGGAATGAGATGAACCGGTGGCAGCACCACACAAACCTGAGCGAGAGATGGCTGGAGCTGCAGGGCTGTCAGGGCTCAGCGGAAGCACCAGGATCAGTGCTTCTTTGGGACTGTCAGGGCTCAGTGGAAGCGCCAGGATCAGCGCCAGATGCTTCTGGTGCTTCTGCTGAGCCCAGGAGAAGTGCCAATCAGCTGGAATGTTGCAGCATCTCCGGGGTCTTGTGATTTACATTCAGATGCTTGGCAACTGATTCATATTTATGACGGTCACTGTGTCCCAGAATCATGTGAAGTGACCAAAACCTGCTGCAACCACCCAGCAGACGGGGGGAATAAAAACCAAACACCCCCCTACCGCACCCCCACTGCCAATCTTCAACAGAAATGCTCACAACAATGAAAACCTCGGACAGGAGGAAGAGCTCCACCGGGTGGGCAGGCAGGTGTCTTGCTCGGCTGTGGCTTGGGGGGCACTTTTTTCAGTGCCATTGTAACTTCAAACAGTCACTAAGTGAACTGTTGTAAGTCGAGGACTACCTGTACTTTATCACTTTTTTCCTTTTTTTTTTTTTTTTTGGTCATCAAGTTTTTGACACCTTGCTAGGCGACTGGTAGTACTCGGATATTGCCATATCCTAAAAGTGGTAAAATGGGTGAAAAGGTTGAAAAGCCCTGCCCTAGGCACTTTCCTCTCCCATCCCTGAGATTATCAACATCTGATTAGCTTTAGCAAGATTATTTTGCCTTTTCTTTCAGAATATGCCTTGATTTTTTATCCATGATAACTATACTGTGATTCATTGAATTAACCACATCAGATAAAAAACACAAACATAAATTAATTGCACTGCACAATTACATTACCCTAGCAGTGGAAAAGTAAAAGCTTTGTATTTTCTTAAGATTAAGAACCAGAAAATCAATACTTGGTTTTTATTCTGATGCCATATTGTTAACGATCTAAATAATGTACAAATTGCTCTTCAGACAAGTTTCAAAGCAGTGCGTGCTCAACAAATGAAAATGTTTCTATTTCCAGTGCTGTAGTACTTTCTGTCTAAGAAGTAGATTTTCTGTGAACAAACACTAAACATGCTTAAATTATGCATTGAGATCAGAGGGGATTCAAAATACTTATTTAGCAATATTATGTTTTTATTTTAGTTTACCATGATATTGCAGCTACTTTTAAGAAAACAACAATTCGGATGAAGAAGCAAAACAAAGGTGAGTTTAAAAAAAATTGCATAGAAATTGGGGAAAAATTACGGGGAAAAATTAATAGTATTATCTGTATCAGAGTCAGCTAATATTTATCCAGTTTGACTTCAGAGTGACCTACTCAATTGAGTGGCTTTAATTTACTTTTAAACTTTTGATAGCAACTTAGATTAAGTCTGTTATAGCCACAAAGTAACATACAGCACAACATTTGTGGAAGAACCAATAATAAAAGTATTGTCCTATTATTCATAAAGATATTTCAGTGGAGTGTTCTCATTTAATAAATTGCACATCTACTGTTGTCAGGAGAAATGGACAGTTCTCCAATCACTGTGACAATTTGCCCTGCAATTGGAATAACCACAAAGAGCTATATTTGTAGCTTTTTAATAAAATACATTTGATCAGACTTGGATTTTTAAAAACTTTATAAGCCTAATCACATGAAACAGGTTTCTGTTGGAAAATATAAGAGGACTATTATTCTCAATGAAAGTGACAGTAGAATAACTGCATCAAAAATAAGTATAAGTCTATGAAGAAAAGTATTCTACATTCCATTTTACAACCAACATGCCACTAGGCTTCCTGTATTAAGAATATTTCATTGATCACATTTAAGCAGCTTCTCATGTAGACATTTTTAAAATAAATAACCACATTAAACAAATAAACCTATTTTGTTTAATCTCACAATAATATAATTGCAATAATATCAAACAAAATATTAGGAAAAATATGAATAATCAAGATCTTAAAAATACAACATTTACTTTTTACAGATGATATGTGTCTGTCAAAAATTGAATTAAATAATTTCATGAAGTAGCAAATTTAACAGATAAACCTTCTGTTAATTAACAGTGATTAATAAACATAGAAAATGTTTATTTGAAAGACAAAGGAGGAACAAACGGAAGGCATGTGAATAATATCTGAAGGAGATTTAATTAGGCTCTGCTGTTTCAAGTGAATTGCAACAAACCAGACACTTCTTGTCTTAGGAAGAAATTCATCACCTTTTTGGAGCACTTAGCAAACCTGCTTCCAAGAATACATTATTATAGATAGTCCCAAATAATAAAGTCCTCAGATAAATTGAAAAACTTGTTATAATAGCTACTGTTTATAATATTGCAAGTTTCATTTGAATCTTACTAAATCATTTTTCACAGGGTATGGTCTTCGTTGTCACCGTGCTATCATCACACTCTGCAAACTGATTGGGATTAAAGACATGTATGCCAGGGTTTATGGATCCAATAATATATTGAATCTCACTACGTGTCTCTTTAAGGGATTAGCTAATCAGGTAAAAATTGAGTGACTAACACATGCTTCTCAGTATGTTAAAAAATATTAACTTGGACCTGTATTTTAATTATATTTTATGAACTGTTCTTTGCCATAGTGCAGTGGGAAGGTACAGGGAGGAAATGTTCAAATAAATTTAAAGTGAATACCAGAAAATAGTTTCTCAATTTCCTAATCATGGTTTGTGGAGTATGATAATTTTCTCCAATTTTGATGAAAAATAAGTTTTTTACAATCCAAACATGGATTATATTTGTTCTTTAAAATACTGCCATGGCTGAGACTTGAAGCAGGCTCAGAACAAGGGCAACATTGATACAATATAAATGTGAATGAAATTAAATCAATTAGGAGTTTTGCCCAGGTATGACAATCAGAAGCCAAGTAAAAAAGTTGTGTTCCTTGTTGTAGCCCAATGTTAACTGCTTGAGTGACAGTCTGTCTTGGATATTGGACAAGTAGAGATTTTTCTCATCATCTGCTGTCTGATCTATTATTATTGAAATATGCCATGGATTAATTTGAGTCCTTCTATATGGAATGTATTGACTTTTACCATACCATTCCTTTTTTGACTACATTTTGTTTTGTGCGGGGACTGCTTTCATTTCATTCATAATTGAGGGATTTTCAAACAAACAAGTTTCAGCTTTATAATTTTGCTGTATTTTCTTCAGCTTCATTTGTGCTTTGTGGAGCTTGTTTTCTGATTGGGTTGCTTGCTTTCATTATTGTCATATGTCTGTGAAATCATCTCAGTTAACCTGACCTCCAGTCAATTTTTATTCCACGAGAATCTGTAAAGGTAGAAATCAATCTGCGGATCTCATTTGTTAGTAAAAATGCCAGTACATTATTATGAGAAATATGTAAAATAGTTTTGAAGAACTAGGAAGAATAAAGAAGAACTAGGAATTTGCTTGAAGAACTAGGAAGTGACAGATATTGCTAAACTGAATTTTCATGCTTCATTTCAGGCTTTCCTTACCAAAGGCTGTTGTGTCCATCTTTCCTGTTATAGTAAAATATTGAGATTAAAGCTGAGGCTAAGGGATACTATGTCTAATACTAAAAACAGTAAAGAGGAGTTAGAACTAGCAGCTAAGGATAGCTTTTACCTTCCATGAAACTATTGGTTTACTAAATTACAAAAATTGATGAATTGGTATTTCTTAGATTAGAATCCTCTCTTTGAATTATCCCAACAGGAAACTCATCAAAATCTAGCAAACAAGAAGAAGCTCTACGTGGTAGAATTCCGTGAAGAATGTGGCCCACTGCCCATTGTTGTAGCAAAGCCTAATGGACCAGTCAGAGAAGATCCTGAATCAGAAGAAGCAGCTCTTGATGTCAAATTGGAATGGAAAGAAGTGAAGGCAGCACAAGGAATAAGGAGTAGATGGGCTGATGTCAAAAGAGCTGTTTGGTAGATTTGGGCAGTATTTAGATATCAAAATGAAGAAGATCCGGCATAATCTTATAATAAGGCAATATTTGTTTCCACATGAAGTGAAAAAAAATTGTATAAATTGCCTTGATTATTGCAGTCCGTATAATTTAGTCATTCCAAACAACATAGCCAACTTTCTTCAGCTGATGTCTCTATTTAAAATGCAATCATTTTGTGGCATGCAGGCTGTAAAGAAAAATGGGAATTTACAAAATCTCTGACAAGAAAATTAATATTTTCCCAAATAACTGGAGAAGATAACAACAGTATGGAAAAATAAAGTTGTAATTGAATTTCATTTCGCCTCACTTATCTCTATATGCTCAAGTAAGAAACTTGGACTTTTAATGAATGAGGTAACTTCATGCATTTGGCTTTTAATACTACTTGGACAATACTGAACCAAAACGAACAGTTGGAAGAAGTCCCAGTAATATTAACAGGTTTTGGATAACTCCTCCTTGCCACATTCATCATTATGTTAGAGGAGGTATATTGGTTGCAGAAATCCAAATCCAATTTCAAGGCTGAGAAAAATATAATTGAAACCTTAAAGAGTTGTTTTAAACAATGTAGGAAGTTCTGATATAATAGAAGAAATCATTTGTCATGCCGTAAGACTTTAGCAATATCAGCATGCAATATTAAGACTTACATCCACCACTCCAAATGTGTAAAAAGATTGCATCCTTTTTGGTGATGGACAAAAAAGTTGTCTAGGTCTAGGTTGATAGTAGGATAGAACTTGTTGAAGTCTTGATTGAAAAGGGATTCTTTTCTGAGAGTTCAGATAATGAAAATGCCATCACTGAATATCAAGTAAAGGAGGGAGAGAGTCAAAGGTAAGAAAGTGCCTAGGTCAATATGACAATGATGACATATTGTGGAACTAGTCTGTGTGCATAGCTGTGGCCTGATTCCTATAAAATAGTTATGAGTTCAGTGCAAAATCAAAAGAACTGGTGGCATGTGGTATGCTTTATGGACAGCCCTGATTATATTCCTAATGGCTTGAAAGGGAGATTGCTGTACAATAGGTCAGCATCCATAGTAGCTAAAATGGTGTGATCAGAGAAGATTGCTAATGAATTCAGGTTTTTTTTAGGAAGTCTGTGGTATCCTCTATGTATCTTCTATCTTCTATGTAGCTGAGAGTGCCTCTGGCATAAAGTGACTCCTTTTATGTATAAATGTGACTAAAGTATTTAATAAGTTAATGTTATATCCTGAATAAATGTCAAACATTTGGTCAGCTTTTTAGTACAACCAAGTTAAGCTCCCATTGCATAGCCACCTGGGTGATGACGCATTTTTAAAAACTGCATTGAGAAGGTATTTTCTGGTTAAGGAAAAATATTGATGTACTGAGCAGATAAATGAGTAATAATTTACCATTAACTAACATTATAAAACTCATTTGCATAATTTAATTATATATATCAAAGGAAATTCTAAACATTTGCTTTATATGTAAGTGAGCAAGCAGATATATACTTTCACTTTTAATAACGTAACAATTTGATTGAGAATTCTCTTCCTTTAGCCCAATAAAAAGTCATGTTTTCTTCTTAGAGGATGCAGTGGATATGCTTGTAATGGTTTACCTGGCTTTAAAAGCTAAAATCAACAGTTTTATTTTATTTTAGCTGAAACAAAGCTGTTTTAAATATGTCATTCAAACAATAAATGCTTTAGTATGTCACTTGGAAAATACAAAGCTTTGTATAGTTTTGGAAATAAATTCATCAAAATTACCAGTCTGCCCAAATTCATTAGTCTTCTGTAAAACAAGCAGAGACAAACTCCAGTTCTCTTGCTACATTCTGTGATATTTCTTTGCTAGTCTCAGAAGAGATGAGTTCTCTCTCATTCCCAGCCTGCTTCTTCAGCATTCATGCAGAAGCTTCAGGCTTATGATCAGCATTTATCCCAACATTTTGGTGTTCTCTCTGTGGAGATTTGGGAGGTGCAGTAGAGATCCTGGTGAACACATCCCCCCTCTACGCACACACACCACACACAAGCTCTTGGTTTTTCCTACTTTGTTTTTGAAGATGACAATACCTGTTATGAACCAGTGCTTCCTCTAGTATCAGATGTGCATACCCTGAATGAACAATAATCATATTTAATTAAAATTCTCTCTCTCTCTCTCTCTCTCTCTCTCTCTCTCTCTCTCTCTCTCTCTCTCTCTCTCTCTCTCTCTCTCTCTCTCTCTCTCTCTCTCTCTCTCTCTCTCTCTCTCTCTCTCTCTCTCTCTCTCTCTGTTTTACTCACATATACTCACATAAGAGAATATTCAGGAATACCATTTTTCTCATTCGGTTGCAGGGTTAAGGCACCCCAAAATCTTTGAGTGAAAGTTAACTATAATTCAAATTTGTGTGCCTGGCATTTTTGGTTGCAAAACATATTTATATTTAAATATTCAGTTTTCTTTTACTGTAAGCTGCCAAGAGAACTTTGATTGTAAGTTGCCATAATAAAATAAGTAAACTTTTAAAAATACAACTGATACACATTTCAAGTTGCCATAATTGCTTTTGTTATGCAATTTATTGCAAGTGCTTTCATATTTTTTTAGTGGTAGGGGGAGGCAATTCCCATTGTGCTCACAGCACATAGGCAGAAGAATTTTAACTCTTTCTTCCTGCTGGATCCTGAGAAAAAGTGCCCTTTCCAGGAGCTGCCATGAATTGAGGGCAGAAGAATTTTAACCCTTTCTTCCTGCTGGATCCTGAGAAAAAGTGCCCTTTCCAGGAGCTGCCATGAATTGAGGAATAAAACACTCATTACTCCACATTTAGATGGCATGAAAAAACTAATTTTGTAAATTATAAAAGAACAGGAAATTGTGTTGGTTCACAGACAAAAAGAGAGGCATGACTTTCTCAATTTTCATTTTGGTTAATCTTGAGGATTCTATGATCTTAATTGCAGGAAGAGGGTTAAAATGCTTTTATGGATGCATGTCTTATCCAAGTTCCAGACTAGAAATTCTGTAAAGACACATATTGCTACAAATCTAGAAAACCAAAAAGTCACCAATCTAATTACATATTCATATTAGTGGTTATCTGAATATTCTTAGAATGCTGCTCCCATCAGCTTTAGCCAACATGGGTCAAGGTCTCTACTGCAATCCAACAGACTAGAAATCTACAAGAGTCTACCAACTCAGCTACAGCCCAACTGTGTCCAGAAGGTGTCAGCCTACCCTTTCTCAAAATTGTGGACAAGAAAATGAAGCACACTGAAACTCTCTCATCTTTTCCTTCCCAAACTGAAATGTTATAATTGGTTATCCTTAAATGCTACTTTTGTAAGTACAGTTACAGGTTAATGGGAATATGTGTGCACTTACAAAATTCAATTGGCTTAAGTATACTTTTCCCAGAAAAATATGGAGGGAGCCTGCTTTGTTTTTGTTTTGGTTTTTTTTCAAAAAAACTAGATATAAGTGAGTTGTCCTCTATCAGAGATTCCATATCTCCATTCTTAGATTAAAAACCTTTAATTTGAAAAATAGATTGCCAATCTCCAAACTTTTGTTTACTCAGAAATTCCTCAGACTAGGTATCCAAAGCAAGCAAGAAAATCATAATGAGATCAAGGTATTAACTCAAATGCATTTCCCAGCTTGTATGTATAACATTTTCCACAAAATGTTGCGTTTTTCCTGCATGCCTAACATTGTTTCCCAGAATTACAAACCCGCCTTTTTAATGGTGCCGGTTTCTCAGCAATTACTTTGTCCATTTGTTAATTGATTTTGATGGTAGTTGAATTGCCAATAGCATTATTGATCTATGTAGTGCTATTCTAATTGGATCTGTTTTCTCCTAGTTTTCTTCATAGCAAATGTTTGACAGTTCCCAGTGCCCAACCCTTGAAGGTTTCAACACAGGGGAATGTATGTTGCAACATACTGTAGTGCTTATTCTCAAGCAATGCCAAACCCATAGTGCAAAATATGTGACAGCTGCCCCAGTTTTGACTACTCTGCCTGAGGAACAGCATTCTTATGCTATTGTCATCAAACTCTTGCCACACCATATCAAAGAGGAAAGTCTCACAGGGAGGGCAGAGCAAGAGAGTGTCTGTTCAATCAATCAAAATTTGTTGACATCATGACAAAGAAAGATAAGGCAGATAGAAAGTCATAGAAGCCCAGTCCTCAAATCCAAACTATCGAAGTTCCACAGGTCCAGTCAACTTTTCCTGTTTTATACCATATAATGACAAATGCAGCATCTGATCAAACTTGAGTAATGCACACAGGACACAAACTTGAGTAATCTACAGGACAGCGCTCCCAGCCCCTTGCTGCATTTTGTTGTTGGAAAAGACTTAAATCCAGTCTGAGCCCAGTCTGAGCCAGCTGGGGGAGGAAATACGGGAAATATTGTAGATGAAGAAGGATTGTTTACAGTACAGGACTTTTAAATGTTGGTTTGGCAAAAATGGAGGCTTCCTGTGATTTAAGTAAATCAATGTAGGCTCTAGAGTCACATTTGGTACCTTACATATTCAAATGAATGAAACTGTCACTCTAGGAAAAACAAAGAAAAAGAATGCTTAAAACAGAAAACCAAAACAAGCAAAGAAAGAGAAAATACCTTCATTGGAAAGTGAAAATACTTGTTTTAAGAAATTAAGGTACCTACTTCAAACACAGCTGGTAGCAACCTTCTAGCTTTCCTGTTCTCTCCTTCTTGCCCCTTCTACCAATAAATGATTGCCATATATGGTGCTAAGCTCCCACCATTCATATTTATCCATTTTCAAAGCTGTATTTTGAATTGTAGGCATGTGCTTAATTAGTATACAAAAAAGCAACATACTCTGCCAAGATATTCAATGACTGTTTCCAATCAACACAGGTGTAATAGTCTAAATGTGATTTTGGCCATGGCACAACTGCTCTTGAAAAAGATGTAGTGGAAAAGTAGTGATTCCATGAGCCCTCTAGAAGCCCCCAGTCTGTTTTATGCAGCCCCCAGTCTGTTTTATGCAATTCAAATTCAGCTGCAAATCACGTATTTTCAACAATGACATTTTGCTGTTGGGAATACTGAATGGAATAAAATTGGTGTTCCAAGCCTTTCCAAAGCTTAATGAACCTATTTTCCACAGCCCCTCTCCCAAAGCTGAATTTTGGTTTTGCCCCAACTCATCCAAAAAGAAAGTGAATGGGCCTGTATTTAATCTACTCAAAATCTATCCAAAGCATCAATCAAGTCTTCAGGACTGTTCTGATGCATATTAATTGAAAAATCCAGCATTGGATTTTTGAAAAATTGAAAAAATCAATTTGACACAGTATTGAAAAATTCCTTTGACTTAGTGGAGGAACACAAACTATTTCTCCATAGGATTGTTCTATTTATGAAATATAGGTGCTATTTTCTTGAAGAACTACTTTCTTGAAGCACCTGAATGGTTTCTACTGGACAAGCTGGTTATGAGTCCTTCTAGATAGGAGGACAAATCATATGGCTATCTCTTCTCATTTTTATATAGAACTAATAATTGTGTTCTGAAAGTCCAGCTTTATGCTTTCAGCACATTTAGAATGGATTTCAATAAGGCAGGATAGGGGAAGCTACCATGTGGCCCTCTAGATGTTTTTAAACTCTAATTCCCAATAGCCTACAACAGCATGATCAGTGGTGGGGGATGCTGGAAATTATACTCATCAATATCCAGAGCCCAGCCATTCCCTATCATGCATTTTAATAAACTCACAGGGTATGAGGCCATTAGCTAACATATCATTGCTTCCTTGCTTGGATGCTGGCATTAGCTTAGCCTACTCTACTACTTAATTGTTGTAATTTCAGCAGCTAGGTTCACACACAGGTTTAACCATGACTATGAGGCCTCATGGCTGCATTTGGGTAATACGTTAAACTTGGTTAATTTTAACTTTGATTAATTTTTATGGCTTGGTTTTGAATACAAACCCAGCTCTTTTAGTTAACATAGCACATTATGTCAATCTAAACCAGGGGTGTCAAACTGCTGGCCCGTGGGCCGGACGCGTCATCCAGAAGCTGCACCCACTCCATTGCCAGCAATGGCAAAACCGTCCCAATACTTTGCGCAAAGTCACGTGACATCGCGAGTTTGACATGTCTGATCTAAACAATAGCTTAACTTGGAAATGAATCTCTTGTATTTTATTGTTGGCTTTGACTTCCTTTATTATTATACTAATGCTATTTTTCTTCTCTGGGTACATGTTGACCTCAGACTTGAAACATCATCCAGTCCAATTACTTAATAATACAAAAGTGGTGTTGCCACAGTATCCACAATAGAAAATCATCCACAAAACTGTTCTTAAAAATAATCATAGAGAACCTGCCACTTCAAAAAGCTTATATTATAGGAAATTCATGCTAGATATGCTCTAGTTCCTGCTTCATGAAAATATTGGTTTACACCTATTTGCAGAGCAACAGAGAAAAAATTTACTTCATCATCTACACATCTTTCAATCATCACAGTAAAAACAGTTACAGAAAAAAAGCTTGAATAAAACCAAATTCTATATTGGTTGATCATTAAACTGCAACTGCATTCAAGGCATTTCCCTGCTTTAATCATATTCTCTTCTCCACCTTTTCCCTTTTTTATAACAAATGGTGGCTTATTAAAACAGTATGTCAAAGGAACTGCATGTTACTGGTATAAACCAGTTCTTTAAAATATTTGCCAACCCTAGACACACCTTAACACGGAATCATTCTTCATTATTTAATAACCTGCCTCTGCCCCTTTACCTCTGAAGAAGTACCTGCGCAGAGCAGGTCCTGAGGTCCTGAGCCTAAATGAGATATTTTCTCTCACCAGTGCTGCTTTGTGTCTCATGATTCACAGGAAGAACAGTGTGCTGCAGCTGCCAAAAAAGCCAACACAGTACTAGGCTGCATTAACAGAGGGATAGAATCAAGATCACGTGAAGTATTAATACCACTTTATAATCCCTTGGTAAGGCCATACTTGGAATACTGCATCCAGTTTTGGTCACAATGTAAAAAAGATGCTGAGACTCTAGAAAGAATACAGAGAAGAGCAACAAAGATGGTTAGGGGACTGGAGGCTAAAACATATAAGGAAAGGTTGCTGGAATTGGGTATGTCTAGTTTAATGAAGAGAAGGACGAGGGGGGACATGATAGCAGTGTTCCAATATCTCAGGGGCTACCTCAAAGAAGAGGGAGTCAAGCTATTCTCCAAAGCACCTGAACGCAGGACAAGAAGCAACGGATGGAAACTAATCAAGGAGAGAAGCAACCTAGAACTAAGGAGAAACTTCCTGACAGAACAATTAACCAATGAAACAACCTGCCTCCAGAAGTGGTGAATGCTCCAACACTGGAAGTTTTTAAGAAGAGACTGGACAGCCATTTGTCCAAAATGGTCTAAGGTTTCCTGCCTGAGCAGGGGGTTGGATTCGATGACCTCCAAGGTCCCTTCCAACTTTATTATTATTAATATATTATTATTACTTTTATTGAACAATTTAGGACCATATTTCTCAACTTGGCAACCTGAAGATGTGTGAACTTCAACTCTTGTTGAAGTCCACACATCTTCAAGTTGCCAAAGTTGAGAAACACTGATCTAGGAAAATAAGTATATGTGGGATATGCACTTGCCTCAACTGCAGATACTGCAATATCCTTTGCCTCACCAATTTCTCAACAATATCTTTGCAAAGATGGATCTATAGTCATTTCCTAACAAAGAGGCTATCATATAAAAGACCCAATTTTCCAGGCTGATTAAAAATTTAAATATTCATGACAGGTAAAATATACCACTCAGCTAATAAATTCCACGGAGCAGTCCTTTCCACATCAGGAACAATGTGACAAAGTATGGGCTGCCAAACATAGCCCTCAAAATGTAAAATCATAACATCAGTCTGGAGGGGTCCCTTGCTAAGTGCAAGAATCAGATTAAAATCTTCTGGCTGTTTACAAGAATGCATCCATTTTGGCAGAGACCATCCTCCTGATAACTAGTTTCATGGTAAAATTACTCTGTTTGGAAGTTTTTCCTAATATTCAAATATAATCTGCCTTCCTGTAATTTAAATTTATCATTCCATGTGCTGAATTGGTAGAGAAGATTCTTGGCTTTTTTCACTGTGGCTCTCTTCAGATACTTGCAGAGTCATGTTCCTTCAATTTCCCTTCTTAATAACAAACAGATCCTTCAATCTTTCATCTGAAGATTTAATTTCTAGTCCCCTGATCAACTGCTTGCATTTTTCTGAATGTGTTCCAGTGTCTGAATTAAAGAGTGCAGCCTAGAACTGGAGACCATAATCACAGAGTAAACCAGAGTAAACCAGAGAATCAACTACACAGATTATTAAAGGAAATAATATTTTGGGTCCCTTTTGTTCAGAATTCAGGCCCTAGTATATGAGGGAAACAGCACTGACCACTCTGATGTATATTCTCAGTTAGGATCTCTTCCTACTGAGCCTGTCATTGGTATTCAAGTACTATTGGCTGTGGTGTTATTATTGTTCAGACTGGGAGAGATTTCTGTTTGAAAGTGTCTGTTTATTGCCCTGATAGATTTGTTGTAAATAAATAAACTAAAGAAGACTTAAAAATTGTACTATGCATAGCCTAAAATTGCACTCTAGTTTGTTGTGGCCAAATAATAATAATAATAGTAATAATAATAATAATAGTAATAATAATAATAATAATAGTAATAATAATAATAATAATAATAATAATAATAATAATAATAATAATAATAATAATAATAATAATAATAATAATAATAATAATAATAATAATAAAGTTGGAAGGGACCTTGGAGGTCATCTAGTCCAACCCCCTGCTCAGGCAGGAAACCCTATACCATTTTGGACAAATGGCTGTCCAGTTTCTTCCTAAAAACTTCCAGTGTTGGCGCATTCACCGCTTCTGGAGGCAGGTTGTTCCACTGATTAATTGTTTTAACTGTCAGGAAGTTTCTCCTTAGTTCTAGGTTGCTTCTCTCTTTGGTTAGTTTCCATCTGTTGCTTCTTGTCCTGCCTTCAGGCGCTTTGGAAAATAGCTTGACTCCCTCTTCTTTGTGGCAGCCCCTGAGATATTGGAACACTGCTATCATGCCCCCCCCTCGTCCTTCTCTTCGTTAATATCAATATCATATTGATAACTGATCTTCAATTATCGTTTCAAGTTTTTTTCACAACTACCATTAACCAAACTTGTGATTTCTGCTTCCTAAAGTGAAAAGCTTTACATCTGTCATTATGAGTTTTCTAACTATTTATCTATCCCATCCAATGTTATGTTATTTGCTCATCCAAATCATTAATAAATAATCTATCAATGTTGAATGGGGAACCTGACACATCTTAAGAAGTTTTCCCCTTCCGGTATGTTGGGGAACTTTAAATGATTATTGAACCAAATATCAATATCATTTAACTGTTACACTATCTAGGCCTGACTCAAATGCAATAGTAATCAGAATGTCATGGAGTACTTGTCAAATTCTTTAATATATCCCCTCTCATTATTACAATGACAAATCAAATTACTCCATCAAAAATGAAATAGGTTAGTTTGATAAGGCATTCTTGATTAATGCCATGCTGATTTCTAATGATCATGACATTGTTTTCAAGATGCTCACAAAGCAACTGCTTTATGAATTTCTCTCGAATCCCAGTACCAATGTCAGACTTCACATTCTCATTCTGTTTCCTCTTGGTTGAAAATAGGGACATTTGTATTCCTGTAGTCACTGGGCAATTTATTCAGTCTCCAGGACTTCTCCAAGATAATGTTGATGCTTAGTCAAAACGCCTACCCTGCAATTCATCTAGTGCTGGACATTTCAATTCAAAATAAAGGAGTATTTCCCTAGGTAACCTGCTCCTATTCTGAGCCTTTATAGTTGTGTGATGGAATATATATTCTACGGTTGGTGGAAACTTTTTCTATGTTCTCGCTGAACAACTGATTCACTGATTTTGTCCTTAACAACTTTCATCAAACACTAAGGCGAGTTATAATCAGGAGTTTTTTTAAAAAAAGAGAATTGTTTTGTGATGTGTTTTTTTTCAAGAACAATTTCTAAGATTTTCCCCAAAAGTCATTGCTAATAATTTCCCTGTGGATGGAACCATGAGGGAACAATCTGGCTGAACAGGCTCCAGGGCTGGTCATCACCTGTTCGAGTTTCTCCCTCCCTCTTTTGCACTTTTGTACCTCTTTTTCTCTGCCCTAAATCTCCCTGTGTTCAGCCTACCCTGGAATATTTCATCCTAAATTCTAATGACAAACACACCCACAAAAATCCTGTATTTTTCCTTTCTTTCACTGGCAGCTTTGTTTTTGTTTTGTTTTTGTTTTTACATATAACAATCCCTAACATAGAATTAGTTGGTGTAGATAATTTCTATCAAGTATTCCATCATAACTGTTACATCCTTTTTTAGACCAGTCATTATCAGTTCGGACCACCAAGTGAAGTTACAGTTTTTAAAAATTGGATACTTATTACTTAATTTATGCTTTGCTTAGAATAATGATCTTTCCTTACACAGACATGCATCACTACCTTCCCCAATCCTTTTTGAAGCATTTGAAATCATTTTAATCACTCAAAGTAATGTAGTATTCCAGTAGAAGAGAGCATTTATAGCTCAGGGTCGAATGTGGAATTCTTGGTTCTCTCTGAGATTGGTGGTTTGCTCGCAAATGTTTCATTACCCAACTAGATAACATCATCAATCTAATTCAATGATGTCAACAAACTTAGCCACATCATTATTCATGTTGGTAGATTACTTCACTGAAGAAAGTTTAAAAAAACCCACCTCCATCTAAAAGTTGAACTTGAAGCTTTTTATTGTACAATTTACATAACTGTAAATTACCATTTATTGTCCATTTACATAAAAGGCATTGTAAATACAAATATATTTTAAGGTAGATATACTGAGTTTCCTTCACTCTCTTCTAACAAAGACTTGGAATCCGGGGGGTCGATTAAGAGTAAATATTAATAAAGAAATTTACCGTTAACACGTAATAAAGTACATTATTTTTATATAAGATTTCTAAAGAAAGTTCTTTACAAAAAAAACACACACATATGTCTGTAAAATCCATAGAACATAGGGTTTAAGAAGATTTCCATCTCAGCAGGGAGAACACCATATGGATGACATAAGTCAGTGTGACTGCATATGCAAAAACCTAGAAGAGAAGAGAAGAGCATTTAGCTTGGCAGTCACAGTTATGTGCTCTGGCAGTCATTTCCTAATTTTCTCCTGGCTTTTCCTGACCTTTTTGCAGAACACCAGCCTTACAGTGCATCATTTTTTCTTGCCTTTGCTATTAATCTTCTGTCCCAGCATAAAAACATTTTCTGTTTAGCCCCTCCTCTCTTTTTACTTTAGTATAATCAGCTTTTGGGATCATAGGCACATTAATTGTATGCTGATTTTATGCACATACACATGATCACAGCATAACTATCGGCCGATCCACTGCAATTGGATGGTATTACCATTGCAAAGTATTAACAAGTGCTTCTAGCTGTGAGGGCTTGCTCTTCTAATGTCTGTGTAAGTTGTACATATATCCACTCTATCCATGTTGCTTTGCAGATGTACTCTAAGATTGTAATACTAAATATTATTAACATTTAAAGTTTAAGAGCACTTCTACACTACCAGACTCTCCATCTCCCAATATCTCTGATTCCAGGTTAAAATGTTTCACAAATTTATCCAGACTATTTGAATACCTTCCACAACCATATGCTAGGCCAGGGTTAGGCAACCTTGGCTCTTTTATGACTCGTGGACTTCAACTCCCAGAATTCCTGAGCCAGCCATGCTGGCTCAGGAATTCTGGGACTTGAAGTCCACGAGTCATAAAAGAGCCAAGGTTGCCTACCCCTGTGCTAGGCTTATGGACACATTGGTGTGTTTGGGAGTTCACAGAGAATCAGAAGCTAATCAGTGCTTGTCTTTCTGGCTGATCTTCTACTCACAGACTTGCTTTTGTAAGAATAAAATTAAAGGAGACCCAGAGGATAAACTGCCTTGAGATCTTAGAGAAAGTCTAACTTTAATAATTAATTCATAACATAATAGGCTGTATTGCAATAGCAAACCACTGGTCACAAAGTTATATCATCACCAGGGGTCTTATGCCTGACATAGGGCTGGCGAGTCCCTAAATCTATTGCAGCATCCAATAACCTGAAAAGCAGAATTAAGTAGATATGACTATCTCACTGAAATGAATAGGACTTTGTTTAGTTTTAGCTGGCCACACTTTGGGGATTTTATGAGATTTGCCACAGGGCAAATGTTTATACTATACTAGTGAAATAAATGTGATACTCGGCTGAGTATCTTATCAAGAAACTTTAGAATCTGTATCAATTGGGATTCTCACTGGTATAATTTAGATGAGGAATTTCAGGTTATACAAGAGTGGACTCTCTTAAACATGTTCAATTGAATGAATATGTTAGAGGTGCCACAATCCCTATGTAAGTAGAATTTGTTATCAAGGCCAAAGTTGTGGTTCCTAAAAGTAACATGAGTTAATCAGCATCAGTAAGGAGCTGAGACAAAGGCAATGCACAGCAATAAAGATCTAATAAAATAGTCCTGAAAATGTGAGTCTCGGGTATATTCATATTTAAAACGTCTGTTTGAGTTTTGGCGCTCTGCCTCTCTCCGCTCGCCCCGCCCACTGGGAGCGTTCGTTCTGCCGCATGCCTCATTGGCCAATGAGGATGAACTAACAACCACCTCTCCCCCGCACGAACAAGCGAATAGAGCAGTGATGGCGAACCTTTTAGAGACCGAGTGCCCAAACTGCAACCCAAAACCCACTTATGCATCGTCAGGTGCCGGGTGGGTGTGGCCCATTGGGTGGGCGTGGCTGTGGTGCTAACGGCAGAATGGGTGGAACTAAAAAGTTCCATCAATCAATTCCAACTTTGCAAGATCTTTTTTTTTCACGCGAGAAGTTGAAATTGACTGATTGAACCTTTTTATTTTTTTACATGGCGGTGGAGGCCTAAAGCAAAAAGGTTTTATAAAACCCAGCTGAAGACCTAGGACTGGGGCAACGGCGCAGGTGCCCACAGAGAGGGCTCTGAGTGCCGCCTCTGGCACCTGTGCCATAGCTTCGCCACCACTGGAATAGAGGATCGCAACTTCTCATTAATGGATACATCATCACAGCAAGAGATAATGAGGAGGCAGACTGGACCCATGGACAGCAGGAGAGGACAATTGACCAATGTGGATAGCGATGCTAGCACTAGAAAGGAACGACTGGCCGAGACGACTGCAGCGCAGACAGAAATGTCAGATGAGCAGCGAGATGATTGCATGCGGCAGGACAAATGCTCCCAGCGGGCGGGGTGAGTGAAGAGAGGCAGAGCGCCAAAACTCAAACAGACATCAGCGAACCCAACAGAAACGATTACAAGAGGGTGTGGACCGAACAGACCCATAACACACTCATTAGCTAAACTACTGGCTTCACAGAGACTATAAGAACTTGTTCTCCAATCCTGGCTTACACTCTGATGATGTTAGCAGGCGTTGACGAAACCTCAGTTTTAATAATTTTTTTAGTCTTGGTGATCCATGTTTCTAGTTTTATCTATATAAATCTATTGCAATTCTTAATATATACTCTACTCTAATTCTTAATTGTTTGTTTTCCACAGTGACTTGTACTGTACTGTTATTGTATTTTTCAGAGGGTGAAGGAAGGGAAAAGTTATCCTTGACTTTTACTTTATACAATAATCCATTTATATTCTTGTAATTAACAGATTCACCCACACATACCTTAAAAGTACCTGGTTATGTTCACACTCTGTTTGAGCCATTTTAGTTAAAATTCTATCTATACACTCTTTTTCTCTGTAGAGTCACCCGGAGATAAGGATGAACTCAATACATGATATAGACAGTTTTCTTTGGGATCTTGAATTAAGCCCCAATTATTTCCAAACCATGCCAAAGGGTGTTATATATTTGCCAAAGAATGAGCAGTTCTTAAATCACTAATGTCCATAATGTCAATTTCTTTTATAACTATATATGCCTATCATTTGAGGAGAACCATAATCCAGAGGCACAGCACATTCTGGTTTCAGAAAATTCCAGATTCAACCCTGAGAACTACCGGTAATTATCCATGAAAAAAAAAACTGTAGGTACACAGATACTACTGGGATAAACACACAAATAAATGCACAAATAGCCTCACCCATTATAAAACATGTTTTTAACAAAATTCTTCATTGTAAGCAGAGCTGTCATCCAATCAGAAATAGCCTTATATCTGTTAGTCCATTAGTTGAATTTGCATATAAAGGTAAAAAATAGCTCTGAAGCACCACCCAAGTATATGAGAAACTGGCAAGATGTTACTTTAAGACAGTAATTGTCTCTGACATTTTTATATTTTAATAATAAAATAAGAAATTGCTACAGAATTAATTTAAAAAATTGTACCCTTAAAAAAAAACCCAGTTCATTTTAATTTGTAAATTAAACCCAGTTCTCTTTCAGTTTCCCAGTGCATCTGGAAAACAGCAAATTGAAGAAGATTGGCCTAATTAATGAATCATTTCAATTCTAGTTGAAGGTTATATACTCACCACAGCTGCTATATCTATTTGGTACACCTTGAACACACCAATATCCTTAAGCACTATTGTAATGTAGGCTTGCAAAACTGCTGCACTCAAATAGAAAAGTGATGCAATTACCTGGTAGAAAGCATCCTGGGGGAAAAAAACATCAGAAAAAAAGTCTTAAGAACTCTGCAAATGTTGCTATTTATAGGACAGCCACCAACATTCCCCCATCACCCTTGTGCCACTATAAGCACCTAATATGAGCAGATAGTTCCGTTTGCATTTCTTTTCAACAATGACCATTTATAAAATGCTGTAACATCTGTAATTACTTTTCCTACTTGTGCCAAGATGGCACATCAATACCCCAGCCTCCTTTTGCTTATGCAATGTTCTCAAGTTGTTGCCTTCTATTCATCTATAAGCCATACTGAATCAGCTTGAACTCAACTCAGAAAAATGCTAAGAAGAATGCTGTGGCTGAATAATTCACTATGCAAATGGTGACAATAGGAGAAATTTGTTTTCTGAGCTG